GTACCAAAATAGTTTATCTAAAGGAATGGGTGCCATCTTATAGTGTGTTTCAAAAGGGTTAAACAATACAAAAAAATCGAGGGAAAAAAATATTGTTCAAAACAACACACAAAATTATAAATCGATTTATGGGTATGTAAAATATATAGGTATCTAAAATATACCATTGCATACCGAAATCATAATCCTAGATTAATGAGTAACCGAAATCGAAAACGAAACAAACCTCCACTTTGACGGGCGGCCGACGATGAGAACGGAGTTACGGAGTGCACGAGAACAAACTGCACGGTCTGCTATGGGTTGCTACCGGTGAGTGAATGGAGTAAACGGTAAGAAAAAATGGTGTTGGGGAGAAGGAGGAATCGACTGAAGAAGAAACGGCAGAAGAATAAAACAAGAAGCTGGTGGAAGAACAAAGAAGAAACCGAAAGGATTTTTTCTGAAACCGCAGGTGGAAGAATAAGAGATTTTTGGGGATTTAGGTAAGATTTGAGAATTTTTATTTTTTGAAGGTGTAAATAGGCATAAAATAATGGATTTAAAACCTAACCTGACATATAAACCATTTTGAATTTATGGAATTTATTAATATTTAGTTGTAAATAAAAAAGGATATAATGAAATTGTTGATGGGTACCATTTAAAGGGGTTATTTCATGACAAAAGTGTAAATTTTATGCATTTAATTATTTTATGTAATTAAAATCTCTAAATAGGTCATCCATGTACTAATCCCTTGATTTTTTAATGGATTTTGAACTTTACTCGGGTTTGGCCCGGTTTCCTTTAGTTGACTTGGATTTATTTGTATTTTCGACCTAATCTTCACATGACATAATTTGATTACACTATTTTATGGCTACAAGTGTGGTTTTGTTTAATTGGTCAATTTTCATGTCTTTTAATTTAATTTGGAAACATATGTCAACTTGTAATTGGTTCCAAATTTAATTCCGTCTTTAATTTAAAATAACGACGTAACAATTTGTGATTAGTTGAAATTTATCACTCAATAGCTACCAAACAGATACTTCAAAATAGTGAATACATAAATTCCATATTTCCATACTCATGTTTTCATATCACCAATCAAACACTTCATAATATTTTATAGTGGTTTTAGTCTCAAGTATTTTTTGTGTTTTTTTTTGGACGGTCTCTTTTGTGTTCTCCTTTTAGTATTGTTGATGGTGAATTTTGGCTGAGGGTCACGTGGCGTCCGGACGAGCAGTCCAATCGTGGATCCACTAGACCTGAAACCAAATAACTCGATGCTGGTGCGGTGACCTGCCTAATATACTCCGACGATCAAGTTAGTAATCAGAGTAAAGATAGGAATAAGATACCGGAGAATTCAGTGACA